TATTCTCCTGGGGGGGGGGGGGAAAATCAAGGATGGCAATGAACCCATTTCTTCCAGGTCTTGAGCCACTGCTTCAGTCACTGGACTTCTGGGTAATACCAGCAGGTCCTCTTCACTGCTTTGTGAATGCAACCTCCCCCCACCAATTAAAACTATTTGGGGAATTCATTCACCATGTGAATAGTTTAGGTGAAAAGTTTACTTGCTGGAAAATGTTTCCCAAAAGCTTTTAAGAATCCCCATTTACATAGATTTGCAACTGCTGGTTACCCTGATCACTCCATCTTCAGGATTCTGCCATTACTCTACTCTACATTTTTATTGCACTATTATTACTGAGGAATCGATGGAACACAAACAACTGCTCTTTACAAGGATCTCAGCACACACACACACACGTGCTCACGCATGGAAATAGCAGGCAGATTGTAACTAGGAAAGATTCTGTGTTTAATTGTATTAATTTCCAGCCACACAACCGACCAGCTACAGGAAGTGGTTCTATGAGTAAATATCTGTTCCCGTTCTTTTTATCTGTCTTATTTAATTGTATGCTGAAAATGTATCTTTGGTTTTAACTTAATCTTATTCCAATCACATACCAATCACGTACATTGAACCTTTTCTTGCAGCACTGTTAGACTTCTTAACCATTATAGATTTATTCTATTGCTGCATTTGCCCCCAAAGACACTGCAGGTTTAACAGGTGCTCCTGGCTCTTAAATACTGTGAATGCCACTGCCTGCAATAATTACACACTTCATTAAAAGAGAATCTCTGTTACATCACGTGAGCTTTAGACTTCATAATAACCATACGATTAAGACATCTCCACCACAGATTTGGAATAACTACATAAGCGTTTTGGGTATCGCCATGAGGAAGACCTACTGCATGAGTCCTTTTTTGTTGTTGTTCCAAAGGATCTCTTCCAGACTTCCTGAATTGCTTCCCTGAGTCACTGGTACAGTAGATTTGCCTTTACTATGTGTTGCTTTGATTTTGTACTCCTCTCATTATAGGTTCTTTAAAAACTGTGTTACAGTTTTGGAAGCGGGGACAGACAGGCAAACAGATTACAGAAGATCAAAGACATTAGGCTGTCATTGAAAATAAAGTAGTTTCTAAGTGACTAATTGGTTAAATCCACTGCCAGAATTATCACGTTAGGTTCGGTTGCTGTTTTCAAAGTCATGATGCTTCTAGATTCAATCACAGCATGGCCAACTCTGGAGCCAAAACCCTGGCCTTAGAAGCACGTAATCACCATAACTAGACATAGGTCACGGAGAAATTCTTAAACAGACTGGGACCAAAGTGCTCCTGGGAAACTTCCAGCAAGACCCTTCTCCACCAGGATCCCTACAAGCTCTAGTGGATTAAGCATATCTTTAGGGCACCACAGTTTTGAGGACCCAGAGTTTTTGGGGTCCCAGAGTCCAACTGCACTCTTCTGCAGAACCATTGCAATTGCCTCCATTGCAGAAAAACTGTGGAGAGAAAGGTATCTGTAGCCTTATACTGATTCCTGAGTGTAAGTATAAAGGACAGCCATGTAACTTCTTGTGCGATATGGCTTATAATGCTCCAACAGGCGCATTGGAAAACCACAGTTCCAGCTGGGAGCTGCATG